GACATTGAGAAATATTAATTTTAAGTTAAAAATATTTTACATCTCTTCTGGAAAGCTTCCTTTGGATTGACCCAGCGAAAATGGAATACTGAGGTCAACTGAGCTCTGGTAGACATGAAATATCGACCCCTGTCACGTTACAAATCTGAAGGCCTATTATCCGCCTCTCCAGCTCTACTCTACTGTACGGAGTACATACATACGAAGAAGATTCTGTTTGACAATATCTTTTGAACACAATGTTGCGGCCCCAGCCTCTGCGAACTGTTCTAGGATCTTGCGTGACATCGTCTAACTGTGACACATAAATCAATCGAACTCCCCTTGCAGAATATTTCACATCCAAATACCAAATAGGTACATCTACATGCATGGTTAACTCGCGATGCTATCTATGGTTCTTTGCATGATTTCTAATGGTGGGTGGTGCATTCCACTGCTCAGTGGTCCGTGCATCGAACAGGAAACAAGCTTAAATTTAAAGTTGAAACTTAATTTCAATTGCAAACTACATAGTATACGATCGCGCTACAATAGAGAGATTGGTGCTGCGCTATCATGTTTCAAATTCCAAGCTTTAGACGCGCGAACCACACATTGTACAGCCAAGAAAAGAACACAATGGTCTCGGCGCAGGACATCCGCAAATCGCCCAAGTTTAACGGGAGAACACCTTCTTCATCGAAGGATACACCGACACCTTTAGGACCTCACTCAGGACCGGTTTCTGATTCTTGTTCACCGAATACCGCAAGCTCTTAACGGGCCTCTTATCTCTCTTGTTGAACCAAGCTACGTGGACGAAGTCAATGCTGACCTCGAAACCTTCGCCTTGATCGTGCACCATAATTGCCGCCTGACGGTTTTTCAGCTTGCCAGCGAGATTGACTCTCTCCTCTGAACCCCATTTTCCTCCGAAGTTGGTATTAAATACGATTTGACCCTCCGCCCGACGGAAGGAAATCAAGAACATGATATCGTTCCCATTCCTGAAGGCCACCTGAGTATTGTCAATGGTGTCGGTCTGAATCTGGTTCAAATCGACCGAGGTAGAGTCGAGAATTATCACGCCGTCAGTAGTGAAGTCCACTTTAAGGTCAAGCGAGCTATTTTTATGGAGCCCTGCCGATGGAGGAGCGGGCCTAAGAAAGGTTAGTAAGGAGTGCTCATTATCATGACTCCGGGAATGAAACATACGGGTTGGTTGGTAGAGGCTTTGGCTTCTGCTTCAGCTTTGGATCAAGAGCTCCGTCAGGGCCACCTGCCAGGGATGGAATATCGCGGAAACCTTCGAATCCGGACAGAATGGTTGCGTCTTTGTGGTGTTGAGCGTTATTAAAGGAGCCAAGAACTTCAAGCTCGATCTTTTCCATAGCGAACCTGTCTAGTTCCCTTCCACGCTATTGGCCGGTTAGCATTTCGGTGAAGGGGTATGAAGCTGATAAGAACCAACCTGGTAAAGTCTCCAATACAAATTCTTTTGCAGAAATTTAGTGACAACGGCTTCTTCCAAAGAGGCCAAAATCCCCCTCTTAACACACTGAACGAGCACGTATGTGATCGAAAGATATGATGTGGCCTTCGATTCAGTTGCTTCTACGGAGGTGCAGTTACTACAGACTTCCTTCCCACCAATGATCGCCGGGAAACTGAAATTGTAAACTTCAGTAACATAGTCGCTTTCAGGGGTTCTTGGCTTCCCGTCTCCTGGAGCGAGGTATATCTTGATCTTAAACGGGTTTCCACCCAGTGCGTATCTATATGTTATTAGCCAAGGCTCTATCAGAGGAGGCAGTATGAACCTACTTCTTGTAACGGACGCTAAATGCGAAGTCATTTGATTTAACCCCGTCATCTGTTTTGTCACCGAGGGCAGGATTCTCCAACAATTCCGTCCGTGAAGCTCCGTACTTTTCGTTTATGGTTTTCCTGATGTCAGTCACATGTAGCTCCCTGTTATATGTGCCTCCAGAATTGTATTTGGAGTCCCATGTTTGCAATTCGGGATAGGTATAGCCAAAGTTTAAAACGTCTCTGGCGCCCTCAGGGGTCCAGCAAGTGCCCTTCTTGTCTGAATGGAAGGGGCGAAGCTTAGTTTGTGGAGTAATGGTGTCCGCAAGTCCGATGGCCTCTTGGAAGAACGTATTCTTGTCGGCGGTTTCAAACCATTTATCTGGGTTCAAAGCCTGCCAGATAGCCCACATGCGATCAATGTTGCTCGAGGGGTGTTAGTTACGAATGCACACTATTTTAAACTTAGAATAAGGCGCAGCTTACCAATGGTGAAGCCAGAAAAGAGGGTCAAATGTCGCCACAGGAATTTCAGACATATGTCCAGTAAAATTCCCTCCCACCCAGCCATGGACATTGTTATGGATATATTCTAGGTTGATATCCTTGCTGATGTCATCTTGCCCTTTAGCACGGAAAGTGGTAGCGAAAGATGGGTAATCCAATGGATGTGTGAGCAAACGGTACACCATTTCGGAAGCAGCTCCGTATTTCCCTCCGCCCATCCACCCGGGGCTCTTAAGTGCGATACCGACCTGGTTATTGTTGACCACACCGTTTTTCCACGTTTCCGACTCGGGGTTCTGACTGTCTTCAATATCTGGACTTCTACTCGTTCCGATACAAGGACCGAACTATTCGTACAATTAGCTAGGTCCCTCAGCAGGAGATTTAGGGTGCACATACATTAAAATACATCCCCTTGCCATCTTCACCGGCCCAAGGGTCGAAGACTTGGCCCACGCCTTCGGACAAAAAGGGCTCGTTTGTTGACATTTTAAACTGATATAGAGGGTTGTCCACTCTCTCTCTTTTGCCATTGGGGGTTGGAATCGTAGTAGTCGGGTACTTGGCGAGAAACGGCACTCTATGATTGGTGGCCCAATCCCAAAATGGAAGCCTCCACGAATCTGCTGCTTCCTTTAGCTCAGCTTGCCTGTCCTTTGAAAACTTAGGGATGATCTCCGTGATCATGTTCTCGTAAAGGAGTTGCTATGTTTCTCATGTTAGTTTTTCAGAGCCGAGAATCTCTGAAGCAAGAGGGCCGGATCAGGGCAGGACATACCTCCAACAACACAAGATACGGGCGATGCCATATTGGGAAAAGAATATTGTTATGAGTGCAATAACCCTTATCTTTGGTATCTTCCATGTTGGTGTCTGGCTCATCGTATGGAACGTAAGGTTGGCCATGGATACCTTGAAGAATGTTAATAATTACAAAGTTCACAAGTACTGTTAACATTGAACACTTACCAGCGACTTGAAAGAAGGAACCTCGCTCTCTTGGTGACATATTCATCAAATTGCGCCATGCCATGACAAACAAGTCCACTTGATCCGCATTTGCCTTGTTGTTGCTCCATTCGTCGATTTCTTGACGGATTGGAGCTTTCTTCTTCTCGGGTACGGTACCGGCTTTGATGCCTGTAATTGCGTAGTACTCATAGGGGCGTTTGCTGAGGTATTCGGGTGGTTTGTAATTAGTTCCGGCCATGTTGCTTGGAGTGCCAATGTCTCTGGATGTGGGTGATGAAAGGTTTGAAAGGGAAGAACTTCTGGAGGGACCTCCGAATATTTGGCGAAGCATAGATGAGTTTTCCATGGGTTACTTATGGCTTAGGAAACTGGGTAAAATATATATCTTGCCGATGTAGAGTAGAACGTACCAGATATGGGACCCGAAAAGAGAACCGTTCTTTTGTACTACATCCCACGCCGCATTTAAGTTTGCCTCAATTTTGAACACACAAACGGGAGCAGCCAATGATGGTGGAATCAATCCACATCGAAGGAAGGGAACTGCTGGGGTATGCCGGGGATAGGCACTCAATGCTCATCTTTGATAAAAAGACCCCCGCTTGGGGGAGTAAGATAAGATCTGAGCTTTCCGTGATGCCTTGGAAGCGCATGAGCAAGGCCCCGGTACATTTGTTAAAGCCCAACGCAACTGCGTCCCCAGCACAATTGTTACGCTGTGGTGGCTTATCGGGGTGCCATTTTGAGGGATCCTTCGCCAGCCTCTCTGCGGATGATAGAGTTACTAGCTTCTCATAGCTCCAATTGATCCGTTCTCTGAACAGACGGAGGAAGAGCGGGAACGTACACGCCTCTCTCACTGCAGTTGAGAAACTGAATGTACTCTGGCTGGCTATCCTTGACCCAATTCACCAATTATGAACATCTGAAGACTTCATATCCATGCTGCTGCGCGCCATTTAGCTCCGGTGAAGTTGGAAACCAAAATTGGTTTGTTAGACGATTTGGATCTCGCCTGGACACAGAGGTTCTCCTGCATGCATGTCTTTGGGTTGCTCCAAATTTGGTCTTCAGCCTTGCGTCATCATCTAAAATTGAGTGGATGGATGACACGCTTTTGAACTCAGTGCAAGGAGCCAAGATAGATCATCACCTTCACCTGAATTGAGTAATTAGCTTACACAGCTAGCTGCTTTGGAAACAGTTCGGTCTGATTGTCAAGTAAGGTGTCCAAGCCCACGGATTGAGAGACCTGCGAAATCCAGATGCGATTTGGCATGAAGATAGAGGTCCTCTAGGAGCTACGGAACGGGGAAAGTCTCCACGTAGTTAAAATATGCATGGAATCCGCACAATTCTTTGCCCAGAGAGTTTCGGCACCCCGCGCTTCGCCAGCCCCTGCCCCGACTCAAAAAGCAGGTTCGGTTCAATCCATGTTTTTACGATTTTGTGGGCCTGCTCCTGCTGATCTTCTGCAGTAGCAATGAGTTCCAAAACGGGTGAGCTTCATCTCACTATACCCAGGTAAATTCACATTCCCCTTTTTTGAGAATGTGGTTGAAGGTAACGAGCTGAAGAAGTAATAGTGTCCTCCGTTTCCTCGATCTCACATTTCGTAATTTAGCCTCGCAACATTTGAGCCGAGCCAGCCAGCCCATCCACCGCTCAGCCCGCCAGCTGCTTTGCCACTAGCTTGGCAAGTTCGAATTGGCCTTTTTTTTTTTTTTTTTTTTTTTTTTTTTTTTTTTTTTTTCGGATGTCATATTGCCAGTGTTATCCTACGACTCAAAATGATGCCGGTATGTGCTTGCGGGAGGACCGCTCTGAGACCTCTGCGAAAGCCGCAAGGGCCTCTAGTTTGAAGCTTTTCGTGGAGGTTCAAAACAGCATCCAGCTCCGCCAAACCCCGCTCGAAAACAGTGAGGACTTAGGCCAATTAACTGAGACAAGTTGCATACCAACTCTAGCTACCTATTATTATTATTATAGCTGACCCTCAGATCGAACCATCTGGCTGAATCACATCACACATTAGCTGATTTCTAATCCTTAAGCCATACCAGGTACTCCGTACTCTGTTGTGAATCTAGAGTTTTAGGACATGTGGAAATCGTTCTTTCTGCACTAGACTCACGTTTAAAGCTGAAGCCGCAAATTACCTAGTTCAAATTCAGTCTCCAGAACTGCTCAAATATCTCGACTTTCCTCTGGGCCGGAGGCGGGTCGAACATCCAAAAAACATAAAATAAAATAAAATAAAATAAATAAAATAAAATAAAAATAAAATAAAATAAAATAAAATAAAAATAACAATAAAAAAGAGAGAGAGAGAAGAGAGAGAAAATGAAGAATAGAATGGAAAAGAAAAGGAAAAAAGAGCATTCAGGTCTCCAAGCCAGGGATTTCTTTTTTCTTACCTTTCAATGCATCATGGCTCTAGTTCACTACACTCTCTTTTTGTTCAGACATCTCGTTTTCAGCTCTTTGTTAAACGGGTGCTCGTTTCTTTTCAGCTTGATCCAAATAACATCATCATAAGCTACTGTTGAGGCTGTGGAATGGGTAAAAGCACAACAGCATGCTGAGGAGTATACAAGCTTAAAGAAATCGACCATCCCTCCCTCTATTTCATCTTTCTCTCAAAATTCCGGGGCTTTAAGTTATCTGTACAAAGCTATATATTGACAATGTTGATATTTCCTGACAGATCTGGAGGAATAAGGTTACTTTTAGAGTTAAAACTAGTCCAAATAAAGTTAAGAGGTTCCCTGCCTATCGATGATGAGGCAACCGTAACGGACAATTGTCAACAGCCGATAAGTTGTGCTATATATTGAATGTCGCATGTAGAGAGATTTCTCTCTTCGACACAATGCACCCATAGCTAGCTTTAGCTACTTCCTTCTAGCCGTGCTGATGAAGTAGGCTATCACAGACCCTAACATTGAAGAGCGGAAATTTGCATTTTGACAACCGAAAGAACCTCAAGGACGGCTCTAGACTTACCTACCAGACGAGAGAGAGAAACTGGAGTAAGGAGAATGTCGCGGATATGACAACATTTCCTTCACCACTGGTGCTCCCTGGCGACAATATTGCCCTAGATGCGGACTATCCTCACCAGAGCTTTGACTCCTGGCTTCGTGAAGAGGATAGGAATGAGATTGCGTCTAGGAAGAATGTTGTTCATGTCGCTGCTCCTCCCGATATTCAGCCTGATGTCTCATTTATCTATCAATGGGATACTTCGCAAATCAAGCGCGATACATCCGTTCCAACTCTAAAGGTTGAAGATGTTTTGAATTCTCTTGAAACATTCTACCTTGGCTTGCCGGTCAAACTACAGCCAAATCCAATCCCGGTCTCTTTTACAAGCTGGGAAAGTGGTGGCACACGACGAGGTCCAAAGACCAAAACTAAACAGGAGGAACCCGAGTATACCAGGTTTAATATCGAAATAGAATGCGTGCGAATTCGAACACGTGCTGCACCAGACGAAATTTTCCAACGACAGTTAAAACCTCGACGACCTTCTCGATGCTGCAATCAGCATTCTGCTCAAAAATGCGAACGCACTAATATTGATAAACAAAACTTCTATGAAAGCGCAGACGATACCTTTGTCTGCGGTAGAGCTTACGGTGGAAGCCGTGTTGCAGTGGTTTCGGCCTCGAGATATAACCCGATCCTAGATGGCAAGCATAATGTCGACTGTGAACAAAGCTGACCAGCGTGACACTATAAAGACTACGTTGTGAAGTCCTCCTGTACTGACACTTCAAGGCCCAAAAAGAGAACCAAGTTTTCAAGTTCATCAAACCAAGATATCGCATCCAATGACGACACATCATCTCCCTTACCCGCCGCGTTGTTTGCACACAAGTCTTTACCCCCTCTCGACCTGCTGCCAACCACGACGCAATTGGTAGGTCTCTGGCTAGGCTGCGTTCGCCGAACGGCGAGCCATGAACTTTGCGACTGCTTTGGCATTGATTACTGCATGTACTATGCTTGCTCGATGCAAGGAAGTACTCCGCTTCCAGAGGACGCGAGACAACCGCCGTACCTCTGGCCCGTATATCTCGCGAAAATGCTGCATGCACGGGTACGACTGCGAAAGATCGCTATCTCGCCCCCTCTATCATTCTGCAAAAGGCACGGCGAGATACATTTATTCGCAACGTTTGCAGCGTGGATCGCCAGTAGATTAGACAGGATATGAAGTTTGGCATGGATTTTTCACCCAGTGGTCGTGTGTTATATCTTCCTTTAGATTCCAGACCACGATTCCCCCCCGAGATTTATGGGTCATATATTCCGTATATCGCATCCAGTTGTCATCCCGACGAATATGTTACAACTTCTATAGAGTATGGCCCGTGAATAGTATTATTGTAGATGCCTCCTATAGATCCCGAAGGGAGATATCAGAATTGCGATCAGGCGAAGAAACACAACAAATTTATTGGACGGGTTCCTCGAGGCAATTTCAAAATCCCAAGTCCATGGGTGGGATAGCACAATTATTTTTATAATGATAATAGGTCACTGTAGCTTCTACTCTGTTATCCCACAGAGCGACCCGAGGTGGTATTTCGGTATCTCATGCAGGACTCCGGGAGGTAATAAAGGCCAAAGCTGAATATAGATGAGAAAGAACACAAGAGGTAGCGAGAAGTAGAGCAATACACAAACAATATCTCGCGCCTCCACCATTTTGTAGCCACCCAACTCCGTATTCTTTCTGCTGCCATCCCCCCAAACACCAGGAAAGCACATTTCCAAAGAGAATGCTTAAAGTTAATCGAGACAGGATATATCTAGTATCAAATACTAGAAAAGGTACTCTTTGAATAAAGTCCTTAAAAACGACGGACGAAGCCGCCAGGCAGGACGGGTTAAGAAACAGCATGGTCATCAGAGTTAGGAAGCGTATAGATAGAATAGGAAACTAGATAGATGGAAATGGAAAGCAAAAATGACCTAATAAAACCCCTTTCCCGGTCACCCAAGCACCGCTATATACCAGGAGCAAAAATGGACGAAATGCAATTCGCTAAACGTAGCCGGATCATAAGTAGTATGTGTATAATCGTATGAAATAGCCCGTTTCGCGGCCGGCCGGGAATATTAGACCGCAAAACGCTAGTAGCATAAATGATGCTAGGGAACATGTAGAGTATGAAGGAAATGTCTGTGGTTGCGCTGTGGATAGAAGATGGTGTAAAAGAGATGTTATCGTTGATACCTAGGGAGTAGTTCTATAGTTGTCAGTGATCGAGCCAAATCCTCCTCGGTAAGTATTGGCGCCGACGGCACATGTCGACATTCTGAGACAATTGGAGGACTAGATGCGTCCATGGAGTGACTCTGTTCAAGTTCCGGCGAACTTGCCTGGGCGAGAAGTCGCTGCCTCTCAAGCTCTTGCTTATCATCCAGCGGGCCAATCCGTGTTCTCGCGGGGTCGCTACTACTAGGTGATGTAGGCGGAGAAGGTGACATATTACCTACATTGGACCGAGGAGCAAAGGTTATTGTATCGATGGAGGGAGCGGAGGCTGGAGAGTCACGGCTGGGGAATTGCGAAGTAAAGCGACTGGGAGGGTTTCCGAAAGGACTATCTACTTCAGATAAAATAGGGGCTGAGGGAGCAAATGCCGGGGTTGCCGTTGACGGACCGCTTTCCGCTACACCGTCTTGTGATGGACTGCTAGGGAGAAGTGATTCCTCGGCTCTTCGTAGTCGGGTCTTTTCATCAACCGCTTCTTCAGGAAGCGCAGGAGGGATAAATCGGGGAGGGTATGGTGATTGCCTGTCTGGAGGACGGCCTCGCCAACCGCTGACTTCATCATTTTCGTAACCGTTTTCATAAGTATAATCGTGGGAATCATATTGGTGTGCGTAAGACTGTTGCTGGTCGTATTCAGCTGCGTCGTTAGGTTGGACAGCTTGAGGGGTAACCGGATGACTGTCCCCTGTGGGATTCGCATCCGATGTTTGAGGTTGGCGTTTACCGGAATCCTTCGAGCCTATCACAACTTCAAAAATGCAGGCAACCACACTTTTCTCTCGTCGCACTTGGTCAGTGTCAACGATGTTATTTGCCCAAGGAGACGTAATCGGGTTACGCCCTTTTTCCGATAGAGTTAGTATTTGGCCATTAGGACTATAGTTGTAATTGCTTGAGCCCGTCATCATATTTAAGCGCGGAATAAAACGGTCTTGGCCAGCCAATTTCCCGCGCAAATCCATTACCACCTCGAGATAATATCGGAAACTTATCATACCACCGGGCACATGTGTGATAGTCGGAAAAGTATCCTCTGGGATCCTGATAGATGTCTTTACGGTCGCCGTCAGGGTGGCGGGGTCCACAATCAACGGGGCAAAAATTTGGGACAGATCCTTTCGGAAGACGCTACTGGACCTTGTGGCCCCGAAAGAGAGTCCACCCAACCCGGTACGAGACTTTGGGTAATAGTCCTCGAATACCGGTTTGCCTTTATCGGTATGTCCCACTGGAATTGCCGGGTGGAGGTCTATCCTCCCTTGCCGATAGAGAGTGATAATAATCCCATTTGGGCTTCGGATAGGTTTCGTGTGCTGTATTGTGATCTTCACTGGAAGGACGTCGCCCGGAACGCCACCAGGTCGCGACAACTCTGTGGTAGCTTTAATTGTCCTTTCTATGGAGGAAGTATTCGTGCTCAGCGAGTCATCGTTCGCGACGCTCGGACTTTTCGCGGAATTTGGCTCGCTGATCACTTGAAAACTTTGGGTGCTGTTGCTCATGCAGCTCGAATTGCTCTGCTCGCTAGGTACGGGGCTGAGCGGTGGTCTATTCTCACTTCCGTTAGGAGCTGGTTCAGCAAGAGTTGAGTTTTGCGCAATCTGTTCACGAGATGCTGATTTCGTCTTGGATCGCGCCTTGGATCTTCTTATGATCGGTTCAAGAGAGATGATACGGGGTTTAGGAACGGGCAGCGGGGCAACGTCGATGGTTTCCAGAAGCATAATCCGTTTGTCGCAGGACATGGTAGGTGATATAGTGGTAGGTCGCGTTAGAGTAGATGTTAGCATATAGGATATGGTTCCACGCTCAAACTAAACAGCCGGTCAGCATATGCATGTCTAGCGCTCACAACTCTCAAAGGGACAGTGCGCAATCTTTTTGGTAAGAACAGATATTTCATTTTACATACCGTAATGCTGCTGGGCAATCGATAAGCCGGAAATGCCATTTCAAACTTGAATTTGTATATTCCCTCAACGAGGCGACCATCTCCACAGAGGACAATTTCGTCTTCGAAAAGCGAAGCAAATCCATTTCCCAAGTATTCACCGTACCTTTTACCACGTCCTGGACCCAGAAAGCCAGATTCCTCCAAGGCATCTCCAGGCGCAACCGCAGTTTTATAGACCTTCACATATCCATGCAAGCAGAGAACTAGGTGTGTTATGCGGACCGGTTTCACCACCTTCAAGACCACGCAGCCTTTCACCAAGTCGCCAGAAAAGTACGCCTTGTATGGCTCATCCAACTGTATATAGAATTCAGAAATAGTCTTAATCCGGTTGCTAAAGCGATCTGTAAACTTGGATATTATGGACCGGTTCCGAGCAGACGAAGGAGTGGAGGGCCTGGGAAAGGGATCAAACGACATGGCAAATCACCTGTATATCGTCCCCATACACACAACGGCTCGCATGGGTGTTCGAAAAAAAAAAAATTTCGTGGGAAGGAGAAGGTGAGCGCAAAGGGAGGCTCGATGTTGGTTGTAATGAGGGCCTGTCCAGGCAGTTCACTCGCGCCACGCTGCGGGATGCGCGGTACGGTACCAGGCGGGAGGCTGTACGAGGGCGTCGTCAATTCTTACGACGCTGGAGGAGGGCTGGAGGGAGCAAGACTCTCGCGAGCTAGATACGGGGAATGCCGCGCTGCTGGCCCTGGCAGACAGGCCCGGGTATTGTAGCAGCGGTGCTGCAGCAACTCGACAACTTGTCAGGTGTAGGAAGAGTACGGGAGAGTAGTCGATATGGGTAACGGTCATGGTCCCGGGTAAACGGAGCATTCGGAGCGACCCTGCAGGATGGGCTAGTCAGAAGGAACGGACGGCATCTCATAAGACCAGCTGCTCCGTGGATTGCAGAGAGGAAGAGCAGCGGTGGTTATGGTGGGAGAAGGAGGAGGAGGAGACGGGGGTGGTGGTGGTGGTGGTGGTGGTGGTGGCAGTCGTGATGGAGTGTGGCCTCGGGCTTGTATCAGCGCGTTTGCGGGCTGTAGCGCAGATTTGGGGGCGTTAGTTATTTAGGCCTACCTGGGCTGGTCGAGAGGAGACTCTCACAAAAGCTATCTGCCACTCCTGTTATGTTTATATCGCCACTGCTTTTCATTGCAGCTGTTGTGTTCTATCATTACTTCTATCTCAGCGTCTAGAATTCTTATTTATTGTTACTTTAAACGGAATATCAATATTCTTTGTTTGCTTCTGCTTCTCTGTCCTTTTTCGTCTTCCTGCATCAGCGTATATGCCAACATTCAAAGACGAAGCAGAACTAGTGTTGCGTGCAATTATTCTTATTATTACAGAGGTTATTTGTGACGCAGCTGCGCAACCTGGCGATGGGGCAGTTCTCCGGTCAGACAAAGGTTTGCCAGGGGCGGGCGTGGTTATGGACCTTATGGTCAAGCTTTTTTGCCAATGTGAAAAGCTTGGGAGTCTTGTTGATCGGATCGACAATCGGGCTCCAGTTTCTCCCCATTTGTCTGCAGCCGCCGTTAGTAACTTCGGGGGGATCAGAACGCAGGAAATAATATAATTGCTATAGAAAAGAACGCGGTGAAATTAATCAATGGAAATATTGGAATACGAATACAGCCATCCTTCTGTTTCCTTCTCGCCATTGGGGGCAAATTAACAAGATTTAAAAAGGAGCAGGGGGATATTAATCATTGAGCGGCGAGGACACAACCTCTCCTCCCCCTCCCCCCCAACAACCCTGTGCTCGCTTGGTGGGACCTCTGCTTCGCCAGCTTTAACTGGTGGCTCTTTCACCCCAGGCAAGTAACGACTCTGGGCCTAGGCGATGGTCAGGAAGAAGCACAATCCCAACCCACAACTGGCTACTGGGACATGGTTGGGACTAAAAATAACCGAACGAGGTATCTGATTTGGTGTTGCTCGAGGGAGCAATGAAAACAATCAAATTATCATATCAACCCCAAGGAGCGTTTGAACTCAGAACATGGTGGGTGGGCAATCTTTTTGTCAACAAAAGCATCGATTCGTGGAGCATCCAGTTAAGCTTCAGCGCCGCTGTCGGGCGAGAGAACGCCATGGCTTGGCGATAACAAGCATTTCCTCTCACGGTCAAGACGCTAGTTGATTTTAATTAAGATTTTTGCGTGCTTCTCCGTCCTCCTCCTCGGATGGTTGTGCAGATGGTCCTCATTCCATCCCTGGTTCGTCGCGGTGATTTTTTTACCCCTGGAAACAACCAAAGTGGTTGTCGTGCTTGAAATCGACGCCCTGTTTTATTTTTCGTTTCCTAAGCAAGATATCAACTCTGCTTCCTGTTCTTAGTTGAAAAGGCGCATCGATGAAGGGTCAAGACCTCTAAAACCAAGCGGGCTCACAATACATTATTGATTGCCTCTGCCATACCATTTTAAATCCAAGTCCACTAGTCGGGTACACACGCATAGGCTTGTTCTCTACCGGGCAAGATATAAGCACAGAATCATAACCAACATCTCGGCCATGAAGCTCACTACCGCAGCTTGCATGATTGAGCAATCGTCCAATCGAAATCATAATCAAGCGAGCCAGCTGACTGGTCTATTCCAGCTAGTTATCCCAGCCAAACAAGTAAAACCCCCTACTACCGGGTGCTAAGAAGCTCGCGCCTATTATTAAAGTGGTTCACATACGCCGTAAAGAGCGCGCAATAATGGCTAAAGGATACTATCCCTACTACGGAGTACATGTACGGTACATACGTAGTTACATCCAAATCAGGGTGGGAGCTAACGAATTTGTCACGTGATTTATATATATATCCTGAGTCCTTCCGAGCTTATTCTTCACTCCTCTAGCCAACACTGTTGATAGTTCGCCAAAAGCCCAGTAGACGTCTGTAATCCAAGATAAAATGACATCTGAAGCCGGCGCACAAATATCTCAATCGCCTGCGTCAAATATTGCCGCTGCCCTTCAGGATGGGAAGACGCACCTGCTCTTGGCCGCAAGCGGCTCCGTTGCCACCATCAAATTACCGCAGATTATCGCCGCGTTGAGCAACTACCCTAACCTCTCGATCCGTGTCATCCTTACAAAGTCCGCAAGCCACTTCCTCGATGGGCAGTCTGCTGAACAGCCTACGGTATCATCTCTAGCCCTGCTCCCGAACGTCGATTCGGTCCACCAAGATGAGGACGAGTGGGTAGAGCCGTGGACGCGGAATGCAAATATACTTCATATAGAGCTACGCCGTTGGGCGCACCTATTGGCAATTGTTCCTATGTCTGCCAATCTATTGGCCAAGGTGACAGGGGGACTCTGTGACGACCTCCTGACAAACGTCATTCGTGCTTGGGACATAGACCCTCTAAATCCGACGAAGCGGCTAATTATTGTTGCGCCATCAATGAATACCATGATGTGGACCCATCCGTTGACTGCGAAGCAATTAGCCATACTCAACGATGAGTGGAAATGGTTTGAAGTGCTTCCACCTCAGTCAAAAACTTTGGCATGTGGTGATACTGGGCAGGGAGCCATGTGCGATTGGAAAGAGATCGTCGGTGTGATTGAGAAACGACTTGCCGCCATAGATACTAGCTTGTGAATCTAACCCCAGACGGAAACATTTCAAATATGCACCCTGCCATTATTTTGACACTTCGCTTTCTCACGTTGATTATCGGCGCAATGCAATGGTTTGAACGCCTTATCCATAGGCTTACTTTCACTTTCGTATAAAGGGCCAGTTTATCTTCCGCAAATCCTTAAGAACTATAGCTTCAGCACTCACCACGGCCGATGTCACACTTCTGATTTTTAAACCCGAAAAACTCAGTTCCACAGCGGCCCTTCCGTTCTTAAATCAAAGATGTACTGTTGCGCGATATCTCCACTACTTGTGGAGGCATTGACAGACCTGAATCTAGTAAGGGGAGGCCTATACTCATGACGCATTCATGGTTATTTGTCGGTTGGTGGATACGAGTACGGCAAAACAATCCGGGATAAAGAGCGCTTTCATGCCGGATGTACCGTCAACAAAAATCATGCTTACCCATTGTGCGACACACACATTCGTCCACCCCTACAAAAGGAAGAAAAAAAAATCACTATTGCCTGAAATTTTATTATAATGACTCAAGTACGTAACCTCGTTCGCCTGTCGTGCACCATGGTTGGATGTTTCTACTCCGTACAGTGTTTGAAGGTTCCATACCTCCTGGCTCCAGTCAAACTAAACGAACACTCTTAAAATCTCGTAACAAGAGGACGTCTGTCACATACGAACATAGGGAGTGGAAAATAGGGCTTCCCTTCCGCTCAGCCGTACTCAAGCCACTATACAACATGCCCAACCGCATGTCGAGCCTCCGAGTTGTTGCCGTTTCAAGAGTGATGGTCGCGCGACGCGAGGGTGAGTGCGGGTGAGTATAGTATGGGTGTGCTGGGTGAAGACATGGGTGAGATTGAACGACACTGTGTGATTGCAGGTAGGCTAGGAGGAATTTCCTGCCCTACCTCAAGAACTACTTAACTTAGACTGGACGGTCTGTAAAATCGAGATTAGTTTTTCTTTTCTTGGAGGATAACGTTATTGTGTGTTTGTAATCTATCTACACGAGTTACACTAAGGGCCTGTTCGGTGACCCCGTCCAGGGCTGTATAAGTCCGTACAGTGCCAGCTTGTATGGCCCTGGACGGGGTTATACACGCTAACCTGGCCGGATAAGGCCTTCTGTTCAGTAGATTCTGTGTATAACTCCATACAACTCGCCAAGCACGCCAAGCTGGCAGTCAGATTCATATTATAGAGTTCAACAGTGTGTTTAGTTGAAAAAGTGGTAGATTTAAACCTGTTAAATGTACTGTATACACTGGAATGAGTTGTGATATCTGCTGACACATTTCAGTGTGGCTGTATAATGTTCAGAGACCTGCAAATATCATCAAAAATCAAGAATCATAGTGAGCAATCATGATAATGCAATCTGAGAGGCAATATGACAGTTATCTATGTCATAGACAGCAGTTAATAAGGCTTGCCACTGCAGAAGTAATCAATTTGAGACTTATTAAATTTTATTTTTTACTAATATTTGATATTATTATTATTATTATTCTTTAATTATAAATATACACAGTCAGAGACTATAATATTTACCTGAGAACTTTTACTTCTCAGAGGTTTTTTAAAATCTATACAATTAATTATACATTTATCAATATTAAATATGCAAGTTAGAAAATTTCAGCTCAGAATATATAAATCTTTTACAAATTACAGTATTTTTAACATCTTTTAAAAGAATTTAAAAGAGAAGAAAATCAATAATAATAATTTATTTACACTAAGTTTCTACTCATATAAATATCTATAGCAATGAAATAACTATTTAATCATTAAAAAGAGTTCAGAATTAAGCAGATTTATTCAAAAAATCATGTTTTAATCTTTATAAAGTGTAAGAAATTCTGCTTCTATGTAAGAATAAGTAGACTGACCGTGTGACTGTATCTGAGATCAGAATCAAACTTTACAGTTATTATATTATTTAAAAGTATTACTTCTGATCATAATTTATATTCATTACATTGATCTCAAATCATGTTATTTCAAATATTAAAGATCTCAGATTTACTTTTCAAATAAAAATCTAGTCTTAGATAAAGAATATATTTGAATTCTTAGTCATATTTTTATTCTGATCTCATTATTGAGAATGATATTAAATAAGATCATAAAATCATTTCTCACTTACATAATATTATAACATAGTACTTATTTATTGAAAATTTAACAGAGAGTGTTATTAAATATTATTACTTTTCTTAATACAGATTATAATTTATATAATTTTAATTATGAAAAAAATATAAAATACAAAAAAAAAATAAAAAATAAAAAATAAAAATAAAAACAAGAAAAAATCACAATAAAAAAAGAAAAAAAAAGAGAAAAGAAAAAGAAAAGAAAAAGAAAAAAATAAAAAATAAAAATAAAAAAATCAAGATCACAGAGTTATAGTATTTTTAAAATACTTACTTCTCAGAGTTTTTATAATATTTATTATCAATTATATATCTCTTATAGTGAGAATAACACAGCTGTGATAAGTCATTATCTTAATATTATCTAATAAATAATCAGTATATATCTGTATAAATGTGAATAATTAGAAAACATACACTTAAAAAGTATGATCAGAGTGAACTCTGCTATCACTTGAATAATATTAAGAGTAGAACACTGAAATTGATGATTTCTCTCATTAATTTCACAGATAAGACATGTAAAGATAATCTTAAGAAATATAAAATTCTTCAACTTCTGATAAAAACAGATCTCACAGAGAAACTCTATTTTCATAATATCAGAGACTGAGTATTATTAAAAAGTGTTACTTTCATATAATATATATACACTTACTGCAGTGATTCATTCTCTGTACATATAACTGAGAGTTACAGCTTTTTCACACTGCACAGCTCTCTCTGAGATGCTGCTATCAGTTTATAACTCACACAGTCTCTCAGTTCAGTACATACTGTGTGTATACAGCTCTGTATACTGAGACTATATTAATTATTATAATCTGATATGATACTCACTTTTCACAGATCATATTTCATTTGAGAGAGAGAGAAAAGATATGACTATTATTTTATTAAGAGAGAAATGAATAATTAGTATTATTAAATATAATTTAATTCATCTGTATTTAAAATTTGATTAGTCTATACTCTTCAATTTAAGAGTTTCTAAGAGTGTTTTAATAGTTTTCATATCAGCTTAAACTTAGTGATGAATTGAAGAAGAAGAGAAAAGAGAGAAGAAAGAAATGAGAATAACTTATCTTTATAATATAAAAACAGAGAATTGCTGTAATTATTCTCTCTAGTAATAAAGATCTGTTTTCTGCATGTATCTCTGATATAGATTATATAATAAATGTATACAAAGAATATCAATAGTGTATGTATTAAATGAAGATAATATTA